AAAAACAACTCAGCAGTTACAATTGAGTCTTATCCAAGCTAACCTTCACACAGTGAGGTCCCAGGTAGCCAGTGATAATTCCCCTGAGACTCCACGATAGAGAGACTTGGGACCACACCTCACCCACTTGAGTGAGTGAAGTCCTGTCACAACAGACCACGTGGTGGCCCCATGATGCTACGACACCACGTAATGAATGAACATAAGAACATAAGAACATAAGAAAATATGGAGTCTGCAATAGGCCGGTTGGCCTGTGCATGGCAGCCCCTGTCGAGAGTTACTACCACTCTCTATCATCCATGAATCTATCTAGCCTCCTTTTGAAACTTTCCTGAGTTCCCGACTTTACTACAAAGTTGCTAAGCTTGTTCCACTCGTCCACCACCCTATTTGTGAACCAGTTTCTTCCTATCTCCCTCCTAAACCTAAACTTATCCAACTTGAATCCGTTGCTCGAGTCCTATCCTGCTCGGATATTATAGAACTTTATCTATATCCTTTGTTGATTCCTTTCACCCAGGTCCTCTACCTAGCAACTGGCAAAACTTTCTCCGAAACAGTGACAACAAAGAGGAACTCTTCAGTTTCCTGACAGAACAGGTTATGCAGTTGGTTGTCAAAGAAAGTAAACAGCTGGTTGTCACAGACAAGAAACAGGTACTCACTGTTCCACCCCGGAAGGACACTGCCAACTTGGCACCATACAACCACGAAGAGGCCGACACTAGGATGATGGTTCATGCAGCTGATGCCTTGGAATGTGGTCATCGGCGAATACTCATTCGTACCGTCGATACAGATGTTGTCAGCCTTGCAGTTGCTCTAGCGAATGAACGGAGTGAGGTACTAGATAAACTATGGCTTACTTTTGGCACAGGAAAGAATCGACGTTACATAGCAGCACATCAGATTGCAAAGACCCTGGGACCTGAGAAGTCGAGAGCTCTTCCAGTGTTTCACGCAATAACGGGCTGCGACACGGTATCTGCCTTTGCAGGTCATAGCAAGAAGGCAGCCTGGGCCACATAGAATGCATTTCCGGAAGTGACAACCGCCTTCCTCAGTCTGGCTTCCACTCCAAGTGAGCTGCCTGATGGTGTCCTGTCGACACTGGAGAGATTCATCGTGCTGCTCTATGACCGTACGAGCACTTGCTGTGACGTGAACGTGCTGAGAAAGAAACTGTTTTCAAGAAAATCAAGATCACTAGAGGATCTTCCACGAACACGAGCAGCTCTGGAGCAGCACATAAAGAGAGCTGCTTATCAGGCTGGACATATCTGGGGAGAGGCCGCAATAGCGTTTGTCAGTCTGCCATCACCATTTGACTGGGACTGGGTGAAGTCGGGTGATGAGCGGTTGCAGAAAACACTGCGGTGGCAAGTGTAGGTGCAAAAAAAGCTGCACTTAAATGCACTGGACTTTGTGCATGTGAAGGTGGTTGTTAAGGCCAAATATCTACAGAGATTCGGTCTCAATAGCCGAATGTTCAGAATTTTTTTTTTAAGTTTTGGGAGTTTGGAAAATTTGTATGTTAATTTTCCAGTGTAATGCTTTTACTTGTCTTTTTCATTGTAATAAACTTCGAAAACTATCACAAATGATTTTCGTAACCCGGATTAAGTATATTGATGCATTGGAATGAAATATGCAACCGTAAAAACAGAAATACATAGTTTAGGTTTCCTGAACGGCGGCCATCTTGAAATTCAATATGGCGCCCACAGAGGTTGAGTTTCTAGTGGTTCCATATCTGAAAATATTCACCATGTATTACTCTATATCTGTGCCAAAGTTAATGCTTTCATCATAAAATGCACAATTGTTTGGCTATGCCGCTGTCCTAATAGGCCCAAGCTTCAAGTTATACAGCGGAGTACCACAAGGAAGTAACCTCTCGCCCACACTCTACACAATATACAAAGCGGACATGCCACCTCCTACACACGGAGAATACGTAGCTTATGCTGATGACGTCACCCAAATCATCCGACATCCAGGCAAGGGCAAACAGATGATGGCACGAAAAACAGCCCACGCCATCGAGCAAATCAACGAATATGAAAAAAAGTGGAAAATACAAACCCAGCACCAACCACAGTCAATTACGTACCTATACAATACTCCAACGAAGGCAAAATTCTGGGACTCACAATAACACGAACAGGCAGCAAAACACATAACAACGCAAAAAGCTTGCCCAATCACAACTCACGAAACTACGAAGATTTAGCAAAATGGACACCAAAATTCAACTACATCTATTCAAAGCACTTGTCCGCCCCCACCTAGAGTATCCACCAATACCACTCAGCACGATCAGCAAATCCAGCCAACTTAAACTTCAATCAGTACAAAATTAAGCTATCCGTGGAGCATCAAAGCAACTCCCGCCATACACCACCAAAATACAAGAACTTCACAAATTATACAACATCGAACCACTGAACACACGTACACACAGCCAAGCACAGAGAATATGGAGCAAATTTGAGGAGTTGGAGGACCCATTATTCTCCCAGTTAAAAGAAGAAGGAACTACTAAAACACACAGCTGGTGGCACAAAAGCCTCCATGCTAACATAGAAGAACAAGACCCACTTTACACATATATGTGAACAAATAACACCACCATCTAACAAACATAAATTAACACCCATTACACTAATGAATACCTAGCTAGCTTAGCTCTTCCCTCCCGTCCACCTGCCTCCCTTGAGCGGGCGGGCATGTGCTGCATGCGGCCACCACCCCAACCTATCAACTCGTCTCAGCTAGGTGGACAGCCCACCTGCTATCACCCCCTACTACTTTACTTCCCGTTTCTATGCTCTCCTTCTCTCTCCCCTCTCCTCTCCCAGGGCAAAGTCATTTGCCACTTTACTTCATTATCATCATCGTGAACGGATCTCTCTCAAGACCCTTCACTGCCAAAGCCAGCCAGCCTTTGTCTCTGACCCAGTAGCTGTAACATCATTGGTAACCGACCACCACTAGAAGCCTGTTGATGACGACCCGCCTGTTACGGACTACGCATTAGACCACCACTCCAAACCTGATCGCCCCTACTAGGGCACAGCGAAACCAGACATCCCCCGCGAGCGCTCTGGACTGCCAGAGGCAGCAGAATTCCCCACGGGTAGTGTGAGTGACCCACACTCCTGCTGGAGGGCTGCTGTCGGCTGTCGGTCCTGACGTGGTTTGGGGTCTTTCCCTCCCACTCAGTCTTTCCTCTTTTCGCGCTGGCCTGGGGACCTGCACCCTCAGAGGTGTATTCGTCCTCGGGTCCCCCCTGTAAGTTTTCACCTCCCTCCCGGGAGTTTGTGAAAAAGAAAGGGGGCCGGAGCTTATACCACCGCCGAGCCTTCCTGGGTAACCGTGATCGTGTGGGTCCACCCTGGGAGGGGGTCGCTATCCCTCATCCTCCCCTCCCTCCAATTAGGTACACTCGGCTCGCGCCTCACAAAAGCGTGCAGCTTTATCACTATAGTAGGTTCGCCTTACGGGGCCACCGGGAGACACACACACATACATACACACATACACACACACATACAATCACATACATACATACACACACACACCTCTTCGGACGAAGGCAACGAGAACGAAGCAGCAATGACCAGGACTATGGGTAACAGGATTTGAGTGCGTTCCCTTCGGAGAGGAGTATCCGAAAAAAGAAAAGAGGAGTTCGGCACAATTCTATGTGCACGCCAAGGAATAAAATTCGCCGCACTAATAGAAGCAAAGGACTCTTTCATAGTTTTTTGCATAGAAGAAAAGGATGTCGATCTCATGTTATCGACTGAATCGACAGATACACTAAAAAGAGATAACTTTGAAATAGCCATCCCACCACAGCTTAGAGCTAAGAAATCAATAGTTATCAAAAGATTGGATAAGACCATTACCAACAAATCACCAATTGAAATATCACAAGAAATAGAACAGAAAAACACATGGGCTAAAGAGAAAGAGGTGGTACTGCTCCCCAGGGCTCCAACGATGATGAAAGTGAGATTCATAGAAATCGCCATGGCCCAGAAGGCACTAGAAAATGGCA